ACTCATCTCTTGTGTTTTTATTCCAATCATATATTGTGGAAGGGGGCAGAACTTATACGTCGTATTTCTCGCTTATACCCTTTTACCTGTGCAAAGCCATGACTGTTGCCAGATTGACTCGTCTTTGTTCAAACTTGTGCCATAGCTAAGAACAGATATAGGACTTTTAGTCTTCGATTGTAAAAGAAAGAAACAACATCCACATAACCTAGCCAACATATATTTAAGCTGGCCAATGAACCCAAAGCGAACTGTCTTGGACAAAGTTTGAGAAAGTCTGAGTTTGGCCTTCGGTTACCCAATTACAATGAAAAAAAACTGCTACGTATCATCTGCATTAGACAAATGCAATTCAGTTAATGTAAAACGGAGTAATTTTCGCGGGTCTCTGCGAAAATGCACAAGTATTCTTCTATTTAGTGTTAATGGACGTTTTAGTTACAGCAATGCATTCGGTGTTCTACATTTTAACATATTCAGTGAACATATATGAAGACGGTCTAGTCGATTAAGCTGTTAAAACCATGCCTCAGTGGAAGTAGAGGAATGCTCACATACGATATTGGCGTAGAGATCTCGAGCGTTAAAATCAGAAATACACAATTAGTCTAATGACGGTTAAGGAAGTGTGTGTATTTTAACCAGGACAAAAATCAGGTTTTAGTAGCGTTTTGGGGAAGAGGAAAGGCTGCATTAGATGGCGCGCATTTAAACAGTGGAATACTGTTCGTTTTTATTTGGCCTCATGCATGCTGCTGAGCGTAGGAAAATCGAATCCGTCCAACATTTTTACCAAGAGAGCTTGAACCCCGGAACACCGGCATTTGTCATACCAAGAACGTTCTCGACTCACAGGCCTTCATGCATTGTGGTTTCATAGATTACAAAGGGGACTACTTTTGCTATTTAAGCTTTTATATAATCGTACCTTTAACCCACTCACTACTTTAAGACATCTTGTCCACACCCTACGTAACAGTCACCGTGAGGTCTTTGCATTTCTTTCTCTGGCACGTACCGCTAAACATCTTCAGTTCTTTTCTGTGGACACAGTTGCTATTTTGAATAAATTACCAGGAATGTGAAAACCCTGCAAAACTACTTGCTTTTTGCATTAAGATAAACTCCCACAAATGTTCGGTGCTCGATCCGTTGGTCGAATGTACCGTAGCAATGGCGTTTGTGGTCTCTAATTCTTATTGCCGGTCTCGCAAAGGACAATTTATCAAACAAACAGCGACAGCCGTTCTTCGGTGCCTCCTTTTGATTCTGCCTTAATTTCATGGAAAGGAGTGGCAAATAGCGATATACAACACAGTGCTACCCTCCCCATTCTTGGCTGTCGCCATTTCATGCGCAGAGTTTTATTTCCCGGACCCTAAAAACAGTAAAAAAACCACCATCAACTTTATTTTTATTCTTTTGAGTCAGGAGTTTTTTTCACTGCTGGCCGGATTTGTGTTTAATCTTCCCTGACAATGCCTGAAAACGGCCATTAGATACTACTAGTACTATTAGTAATATTGAAAGCTATTGACCCGCGATCGCACAAGGTCTGTGCGAACGTCTGTTCCCAAGAGGGTTAATGACACGGTTAAATAAGTGTGTCTTACATGAGATCCAGTCAGTGTCCGCTCATCCAGTTCATCGACTACTTATATGGCTTGCGGAGGCCGGGAGTTAGCTGTCCCCAAGGCCATGCGTCCATCGTTCATACACTGGAGAGCCCTGATCGCGTGATGCATTCGTGTCGTGCACACCAAAGACGAAAGGCGTACACTGGTTAAAAGCCCTTCAGATCCGGTAGGAGGATATTGTATGTTGAGAAGTCATGTAAAAAATTAAAGCATACGGTTTCGAACCTTAATCGGGTAACTTTCGAATATAGTGCATGAGCGTACATTTTAAAACAAGTTAATTGGATACTCTTCTGGAAACCAACTAACCGAAACCTCAAGCAAGAAGCATAACAGTCCAAAAGGATGTGATTTTTGCAAGCAATTCCCGAGGAATATCCTAAAAATCTAATGTTGAAAAGCCCGTACGATAAAAAGGTTTGGATGCATACAGACCAATCAAGTAAAGAGTCAATAACAGAAACGTGCCGTGACAGATAAATAACGTACACAACCAACATGAGAAAATGCTAATAAATGAAGATGTCGAAAAGATGACAGTTGATATTAACAGTAGGTTTTATTCAGATTGGGGCGTCGGGGTCCCTATGTTATGCAGTATGCTCTTTACCAATGAGAAGGCAAAAGGGACGGAGTACGAATCACTTTGATGCCATTTCTACGGAAGGTCTGATTTGTGCTGACCAAATTGGCTCGGAGGCACTTCATAACGCGAGTAGCCATAGCACAGTCATCAAACAGATGTAGACGAGAACTATTCCACTGAATGCCTGATTTAAATCCTTCGCCACCACACAAAGCGAAAAATCGTAGGAGGCTGACAAAATGCTCTTAATGTAACTGGGCTGTCGACTGGAGCGTTACATTGGGCCATCGATTATATCCCGTTGCACAGTTTCATCTAAAATAGACATGACCACATATCCAAAACTTTAAAGACAGTGATGAGCAAATAGACCAAATTATGCAGACAATATGTGGTAGAAGCACAAACCCAAGCGACTCTTCTATGTCGCAATGGATACTGGACGACAAGGCGGTCAAAAGCGATGCGACAAGGACACCCTCAAAGCAATGACATCCTCTTAATCAACTGCAAACTAACCAGGAAACCAAGGAGGACCTCACCTAGGATCACTGGCTTAGAAAAGAGCAGTGAAGGCAGGAGCAGCAAGCTGCGAAACCAATCGGATCGCCTCAACCAAAGCCAAAAGAGCAGCCCGCAAGTCTCAAATGCGTCTGATCCACAACATCAACATCCAACCCCTGCCAACATGCCCATACTGTCAACGAACACTTCGCTCGCGGATCGGTATCGTCAGACAACTCC